AACCTTGCCAAAGGTTATTATTAGTCGGTTTTATTTTAATTTTCTACTTGAGCATTATTTAAACTATCGTGGGTTTAGCTTTCAGTTTGTCTTTAACCATCTCTATCTCTTCACTGTTATGATAGCTTCTGAAGTTTGTTTTGCTTTACTTTCTGGCCCCTCATTTAGTGATTGTTTATCCTATTTTCATTCATGTACTTTTGCTTGTTAATTTACTTGACAGGCCTGATTTGTCATTCATACAGTCACATACAAGTACATATATGATAGTTCCTACTTTTATCTTGATTGCTATCGGAGACTGATGGACCACACGTACCTTTTTTATCTTAAGAACTTTATGGAGCACCACAGACCCATATTCCGAGTGCTCCACATTTGGGAGAATAGGCATCTTGATACTTCTTCCTATAAGAGCTGTTTAAAATGATGACGAACTGGTAGTTTAATTTTTCTAGTTTTGTGGTGCAATCATGTTTACATTTACTTTCGCATAGCCTTGCTTCGCAAAAGATGTTCGCATCTAGCGTGTATTGCAGGTTCGACCCCGCCTAGGTCTCAGCACGCCTAATAAGACTCGAATTCTAATAATGCAACATAATTTCGACATGCTAATCAATACGCTACACTGCCACGAGTTCCTTTGGCTCTCAGGGAAAAAAGTGACTTTCAGGCAAGCCTGGGTCTTTCCCATATCAAATTTTTGTGGTGGGATTTAGGACGAAACAAAACTGCACTTGTTATAGCAATCGACTACATTAGTTATTTTTCGTTTTATAAGGTGATTTTTGAAAATACCAGTAGCTGTATTTGTCCTATTTTGTTTAAGGTAATGAAGGACTGGTAATTGAATTCTCGTCAGCCCACATTTTTATTCCTTATTCTATCCGACATACGCCACTCCCACTGCCTTAGATTACTTATTAAAGAACTGTTTACGCTTATTCATATAAATTTAATATAGCTTTCTATTTGATGTGATACAGATGATCGAATTTTATTATAGATATTTAACCTGGATTTATCATCCGCATGTTTTCCTTTTCTTTTTCAGAAGCTTTTGGGGAAAATTTTTATTTTCATTACGATTATAGTCCATCTCCTTACATCTTTAGGTCCTACATTTTACAGGCGGTTATTGTGAGCTCTATCGAATTATTAATACAATGCCGAAAATAGTTACTAGAAGGCATTTAAAGATAAATATATCATCCTAAGACTTACCTATTTTTACACAAGCATGATCGTGGTCCAGTTAAGTTTTCTTAACTTGCTGTTAAACAAACTTTAAGTTAGTATCTAAAAATATATTTTTTATAATCAGAAACATGTCTGCACATAAATTCTTTCACGCACATCTTGTTCACTTGCATAGTCAACTTTACGAATTAAAGAGAAAAAACATTTTGAGGCCAAAAAGGCCAGATTGGAGTCCAGTTCACATTCAGGCCTTCCTATCACCACCACCTCTTCCGCTACCCTTTCTGAGCCTCGACTATCAGCTATACTTCCCGCTGTAGTGACCTGTAGTCGTCCACATCTTGTGCCTGCGTGGACTGTCCACTTACTGAGAAATCCTCTGCTTAGATGGTTTAGCCAAACATGGATTGCCTCGCAACGCCCCCTTGACCGGTCTTTGAAGGCAGCAGTCATTTCCAAAGTTGAGGATGATGACTGGGTTAACTTTCAATCGCATCTGAAGCGAGTCGACAGCATAACGTCGGGTCTCCCTTTAGTTCATGTATCTGTCGAGCCTGAGCTTGCCATGGCTCAGCCCGCCACCTCTGAATTCGCTACGGGGAATGGAACTCCCGCCAAAATCACAGAGGGTTCAGTCTGTCGGGTGCTCATTGATCTGGCTAGCATTGAGCAAGTGATTCATTTATGTACTTTATTTTTTCATTGAATATAAGCCACATTTTGATATATCCTTTTATAGTGTTGGTTCGACCTTGTTTTCACAACTTTATTGG